TTGTGGGGAGGATGCTTTCTGTCCTGTGCATGCATGTACTCTGACATATTTAAAAAAAAAAAAAAAAAGGTTAAGAAGAGAAAGTGTAACAAATACATTTAATCAAGGTTTTTGTGACACAGTAGTCTTCAGAAATGAAGACCCAAACACTCAGGAAAATCTATTAGTTATAGTTAGTTTCAATATAGAATAGACATCAGTGTAGAAATGTGATTAGACCAAAAGCATATGAATGAATGGTAGTAGATGGAGGGGGGAAAACGCAACAAAGCCTGTCCTCATTCTTCTTGGTCTCTGTAGCACTCCTTCCAGCAGTACCCCTCCTAAATGAAGACTTTCAAAGGAGAAAGGAAAAGGGAGTGACCTTCCTATGGCTTGCTTTGGGGGAGGTGGCTTCTAGTTTCTGTGACTCAATTTGGGGAAGAGGAATTCTGTTCTCTATGACTCGCTTTGGGAACACAAAGGGACAAATGACAAGAGGATGGGGGAAAGTCAGACCTTGCTTCTGAGGTCTTCCAGTGTCTCAGTTTAAACTCCATGCACCAAGACCACCATACTTTGTGGTATTGTGTTGTGAGCCCCAACACCCTTCTCTTGGGAAATGTTTGGACTTTAGAGTTTTTGGGTTACCTGACATTGGAGAAGGAGGCATCACTTAAATTCCTTTCAGGATTAGTTTTCAAAACACTTGAACATTAATTAAAGTGTTTTGAAAATAGTCCTATTAATTACCAATTGTTAGCACTGCTTATTACCTTTGAGTAACCTAATTGCAGGGCTTGCATGGCAGATTATAGTATATGATCAGTTACAGTTTGAGGTAGTGCTTCTTAAAGTAGTGGAAGAAAAGCAATTAAAGTCAGATTTTGGATAAGGTTGCTGTTTCAATATACCTGACCTTCACTTTTGTCCTTCAAATATCTTGTGGTCAAGTAAGTTTTGTCTGTCAATGACAGGGAAATGAAACATCGTTAATAGATGTTAGTTAAAGACTCCCTGTCCCACACAGGAACTGACTCATGTATTTTCATATGAAACCATGGAGTTTTCGGGAGAGCCAGAAACTCAGAAACCTGTTTCCTTACCAGGAAAAATGTCATCATCTCATCTGGGTTTTTATTATGATTAGCCACAAAGCGTGGTGTGCTCTCCTGGTTTTTATGAATTCCTTTTAAGTATTTTTTTCTGTGAAGCATCATGGACTTCAGAATTGGTGTTAAATATAACTTTGGTCCTTTTACCTTTGAATTCATTGAAGTGGTGCTTCCATGCTTTTCATCAAGTGGTTCATGTTCATTCTTTCTCAAGAAAGGTTATCAAGGTCAGGGTAAACTGGAGGGGCAATTTCTCAAAGGAGAAATTCTTTGAAATGTGAGTTCCTTGCAGGTACTTAGAATTTCTAGATTAATACCCCCCTCTTTTTTTTTGTCCAGCTTCCATTTGAATTCCGTAGCTGTTCACATTCTCATAAGCTCAGGGCCATCCTACAGCATACCATCCCCCAGTGTCATCTCTCCTGCTGCTTGGGTAGGAAATGGATCATGTGTTCAAAGGGTGCTGAGCAGCCTGCTTCCCAATCCTGATGAGCCTGTTCGAGGAAAACCCAGGACTCATAATGAGGCCTGGCCCAGCTACTTACTCACCATCTCTGTCCTCCTCGCTTTCCTAGCCTGTCCTCTTCTTCAAGACAGCACAATACTCATTATTCTCAATCTGACTAATCAGAATCCTCCCATAGAGGGACATTCCCTGTCTTCCCTGAGTATCTTTACATGTTGAAATATAAATAGTAAATAAATAGGCTGAAGTTTCTGCATACATTTTTCTAAGAGGAGACATCTGATGCTCATCAACAGAATAGACATAATGTGTTAGAATATCTTCATCCAGTGGGCTGAATTGTGACAGTGAAAACATGTAAACTAGAGCTGCATGTAACAACATGGATGAATCTTAGAAAATAGGGGTCAAAAAAAGCCAATTGCAGAACTCTTACAAAGTTTTTAAACTTGCAAAGCAACACAGAATATTAAGTATAAAGAGAAGCAGGATCTTTCCCACATATAAGATGGCAAGTGAAAAAGCTGCAAAGCAGGATACAAAGGAGAAGAAACCTGAAGCCAAGAAGGCTGATGCCAGTGACAAGGTTAGAAAGGGTGACCCCAAGGCTAAAAAGCCCAAGAAGGGGAAGCCCCATTGCAGCCGAAACCTGGTTCTAGTCCGGGGCATCGGCAGATACTCCTAGTCTGCCATGTATTCCAGGAAGGCCATGTATAAGAGGAAATACTGGGCCACTAAATACAGTATCGAAAAAGAAAAAGAAGGAGAAGGTTCTTGCGGCAGTCACAAAACCAGCTGGTGGAGACAAGAATGGTGGTATCTGGGTGGTTAAACTGCACAAAATGCCTAGGTATTATCCTACTGAAGATGTGCCTCGAAAGCTGTTGAGCCATGGCAAAAAAACCCTTCAGTCAGCATGAGAGAAAGCTGCGCGCTAGCATCACTCCTGGGACCATTCTGATCATGCTCACTGGCAGACTGGACGCCACAGAGGCAAGAGAGTGGTTTTCCTGAAGTAGCTGAGCAGTGGCTTGCTACTGGTAACTGGACCACTGGTTCTCAATCAAGTTCCACTGCGTAGAACACACCAGAAATTTTCATTGCCACCTCCATGAAAATTGATATTAGCAAAGTAAAAATCCCAAAGCACCTTACCGATGCTTACTTCAAGAAAAAGAAACTGCAGAAGCCCAGATACCAGGAAGGTGAGATCTTTGACACAGAGAAGAAATACGAGATTTCAGAGCAGCGTAAGATTGATCAGAAAGCTGTGGACTCACAAATTTTACCAAAAATCAAAGCTCCAGGGCTACCTACGATCCATGTTTGCCCTTACAAATGGAGTTTATCCTCACAAATAGGTGTTCTAGATTTTTTACCAAGAACCTAGTTAAATAACTGATCTTATAAAATAATTAGTTAATTAATCAATTAAAGATAAGAAGGGGACTTCAAAAAGTTTGTGGAAAACAAAGTATGAAATTATTTTGGCACAATTTTTTTTAATTCATGCATAATTTTTTCACAATATGCATTTTCTGTGAACTTTCTGAAGACCCCCTCATTTAAGACCATAACAAATTCAGGATAATAGTTCCTTCTAGGAGACAGGGAAAGGAGTATTGCTATGGAAGCGATACAATGGGGACTTCAATCATATATTGGGTTGTTGGAAAAGTCATGACACCTTTTTGCATAGAGAAACAGAAAAATACATTATGACTTTTCTGATAACCCAATACATAATTTATTCTTTAATGTCTATTGTGAATTTATGCCTATTATTATTTATATCTTCTATATTTGAACTATTTCATATAAAAATAAAGATGACTGGCATAGTGGTTAAGGTGATGAATTCCCATGTGGCCAACCATGGTTTGAGTCCCAGACCTGGCATCTTGAAACTCATTCAGGCACGTGTGCATGTGTGCCCAAAATCTGGAGAGGAGAATGGAGAAGGAATTGTGGTGTGGCCATCCTCCAAGGGGATGATTTCTTACTTTCTGTCTCTCTGTGTCTCTCTGGCGAGCACATGTGCCTGTAACAAAAATCTCTAAAAAGAATTTTTTAATTAAACAAAATGAGAAGATGGAAGGCATTTTACTTTAAAAATATAGTTAGCTTTAAGGAATATATTTAGGTTGGTTCTCACTTACCTGTGTTTCAGAGTAAAAAGCCAGAGGAGCCACAAAATCTTCAGTCATCAGATTTTCAGTTATACTTATTATATAGTTCTTAGTTGGACAAGAAAGTAGACCAACAATTTTGAGAAATATTTTCCAAAAGTTATGATGAACTAAAAGGGAGGTTGCAGCCTGATAGCCTCAGGCTAGAACTGAGCCTACAGACTCATTCTGTTTGAATCATATGGTCAAGGGGCATGTCTTATCCAGTTGGCCATTGTCCCCACCCACCAGGTTCCCTGATTTATGTTACCTGCCAAGCCTAGGAGGCACCTGAATTTGCTAACTGTACATAAAGTTCCAGTTCTCAAGTAGAAATTTCAGTTATTCAAAACATTCCTTTTCCTAGGCACTTAGGTTAGTGATGTAATTTTACCAGAACATACCCTAAAAAACATCATTTCTACATTTTTTATTCTTTTTTTTTTTTTTTGCATGCACTCGCTGGAAAGACAGAGACAGAGAGACAGAAAGCAAGAAATCACCCCCCCAGGGGAGATGGCCACACCGCAGTCCCTTCTCCTCCATTCTCCTCTTGGGATCTTGGGCACGCATGCACATGCGCCTGGTGTGAGTTTAAGCCACCGGGTCCAGGACTCGAACCACAGTCAACTACATGGAAGTCCAGCGACATAGCCAGCGCTAACTCCTGGTCCCAAAAACATCATTTCTAAGGTACTCTGTTAATATTGACTTAAAGAATTATAAATGTGAATTTTGATTTGTCAAGTTTGTAAAAACAGCCTTGATAGCAAATAGCATGGTGGAACAAACCTCAGCTCTGGGATAATGTACAAAGCCTGTTAAGAGATGCACCCCCAGTTTGCCCCCCTGGTATTGTTGATTGAACAGTGGTGCAGTGGTAAAATGTGATGCCCTGTGAGGCTGACCTACATGAGAAGGTTCTAGGTTCACCTCTGGAGACTCCCCTGAGTACAGTGGCATGTGCATGCCCATTATCTAGGATTAGCTATGGATAACAGCAATGGAACCCTGTTGGGAGTGTCGTCTCTCTGTCTCTGTCTCTCATATAACATAAAAATAAATTTTAAAACTTTTGAAAAAATGAGATAACTGGTGTTTCTACTATGCCATTCTGGCAATGCTACCCAACAGATCTGTTGAGAAAGAGCAGTTATTCCTAGACTAATTAAATATCTTGATTAAAACAAATGTACATACATCTGCCTAACTCCCTACTGTCAAATTGCATTTTATGCAAATTTTCTCTCTTCTATTTTGGTGGGGCTGAAGATGACAACAGCAACACGACAAGAAGTTCTTGGCCTCTACCGCAGCATTTTCAGGCTTGCGAGGAAATGGCAGGCAGCATCAGGGCAGATGGAAGACACCATCAAAGAAAAACAGTACATACTAAATGAAGCCAGAACACTGTTCCAGAAAAACAAAAATGTAAGTAGGCCCCCCTGGGAGATTGCAAGAGGACTAGTTTCTTGTTCATTTGTTTTTTGTCTGTCCTAAACTGAGAGGACTAAGCAGCACAAGCATGGTGGCAAGAACACAGGCCCAGAAGGGGCCAGAGGCACACCTTGGCTAGCTTGCCCAACCATTGTGAAGTCCAGCCCAGCCTGGTTTCTCTCTCCATGTCTTCCAGTCTCAATCCAGCTGGTAAGTAGCTCATTGTCCTCAGAAGACCCCATAAATGAGGTGACATGAGTCAGGCCAGTGAGGGTTTTGAGAGGAGCCATTCCTCATACACTGTGCTGGTCCCTCCCACGGTAGGTACACAGGGAAATGTTTTTTTTTCAATTCATAAACTTTTCAGAGCCTCCAAATAAAAGTGCATTCAGAGGAAAGAGAATAGGATGAAGACACAGGGTTCTCTTCATAACTTAGTTTTGAACTCAGGCCTTTTTGGCTAGAGCATGAGGTTGCCCTCTGAGACCAAATAACTGGGTAAAAGAGTGCCTCCATTAGCTAGTTTAACAGAACTGCACACTTAGGCACCAGGGAGCCAAATCTGACCCATCCCAACAGATCATAAAACATTAGCTGTGAGCTCCTTAGGGAAATTGCCTGGTACCAAGCATGGAAAGAGGCCTGACTTTTTTTTTTTTTTTTTGAGAGGTTTTTTTCGCTATAGGGCGCGTGCACTCGCCAGACAGACAGAGAGAGACATAGAGACAGAAAGCGAGAAATCACCCCCCAGGGGGGATGGTCACGCCGCAATCCCTTCTCCTCCATTCTCCTCTCGGGATCTTGGGCACGCACGCACACGCGCCCGGCGTGAGTTTTAAGCCACTGGGTCCGGGACGCGAACCACGGTTGACTACGTGGGAGTCCAGCAACATAGCCATTACACTAACTGCTGGTTCCCAAGAGGCCTGACTTTTCTTCAGCCTCCTTCTCATTGATCTAATGGACTCAAGAAACCTGTTCTCCTCAGGAATCCTCCTAACAATCTCTTCTCATTACTTTTCCCTTTCTGACCTCTGACCTTGTCTCTTTTTGGCCCTATCTTCTCTACACATCCTCCCACCAGCCATAGGGGTCCTGAAGGTCAGCCTATGCCAAGACCTATGCAACCTGCAACACCCTTATGGCTTTATCTCTCACTTTTGAATACCCAGCCATGATCTCTTACCAGATGCTAGAAGACATCCCCACAGCATAACGGCCCAAAGCAGATTCATTTTTCTACAGGACCACCCGCCCTTTCCAGCTTGCCCATATCTGTCATAGCTCCCATCACTACTCTACAACGCTTTGTTCTCGTTCCTTTATTCATCAAGAATTTGAGTGACCATCACATGCCAAACACTGGACTAGATGTTGGAGAGTAAAAAAAAAAGCAAAACCAAAACAAGGTCTCTTAAAAACATGTCAGAGTTAAATGGAAAGAAATAAAATTATAACTGGAACAAGAGCTGCTGAAGAAACCCACCCATCTATAGTACCTTCTCCTTTTTGGAATCCCTGGTGCCTCCCTGCTTTTTCTGTTAGTAATGACAGAGGGCAGGTGCAGATACGAAAGAGAAAGAGTTAGCAAGCATCCCCGTCAAAGGAGCCCGATCATGCTGCAAGCCTTTTTGGTCCAATTTTCCAACCCGTGAGCATCCAGCAATTTGAACCTCTGCTAGCCTTATGGGATTCAGCTTCCTTTGCACAGTGCCTAACTCCTGTGCATGGGGCGAGAGTGCCCAACTGCTGTGCTATGAGGCCAACCTCCTTCCTGCTTTTTAAGGCCAACTTGCTTGTGACATTTCTCTCTATCCTTCCTACCCAACTCTTTACTCCTGCTTCAAACTCTTCCTGCCCTGAGAATAAACCATGTTTGACCAACCAGAATATATGCACCCCATGAAGTCCTTAAGCAATCTTCTGAGGAATGGAAATAAAATACTCTAACTGCTATTTCTATTTTGTTTATTTCATCCTTTTAAAATGTCTATTTAAGGGCTGACTTCATGGCCTAGTGGGTAAGGCAGTCAGATCCCACATGGTGAACCCTATGGTTTGAGTGCTAGACCTGGAAGCTTGGGAAGCGTGCTGGTGCATGTGTGTACATTCCCAAAACCAAAAAAGAAGGGAGAGATGGCACATGGCTATTCCCCATGGAGGGTGCTTTCTCCTCTTCCTCCCTCTTGCTGTCTCTGGTAAGCACATGCATCCTCTAACAACAAATAAAGGTCTGTTTTATATGTATTTATGATTATTAATACAAAAGCATTTTTAAACAAACACGTTTATAAATTAATTAAGTGCATATGTGGGAGCTCTGGACTCAAATTTTTTATTGACAGAAACAGGTGACCAAGGGGCTGGCAGGTGGCATGGTGGTTAAGGGTGCTAGGTCCCCACACGGCCGTCTGTGGTTCGAGTCCTGGACCTGATGGCCTGATTTCTCACTTTCTTGCTCTCTCTCTTTCTGTCCCTCTCTGGTCAAAATTAAAATGAATAAATAATAAAGTTCAACAAAAATAATTATTTAAAATAAAAAGAAATAGGTGACCAAAAAGTTTAGAGACTCTTAAAGTAGTGGCTGGTACTCTTTTTTTCTTCTTTTTTGTTTCATTTACCTAGGTGAAGTCCAGATGGTCAGTTTTTTTGAGCATAAGACAATGTCTTTTGGTTGTCATTAAACTAATGAGCACTTACAAACACTTTTATTTAATTGGCTTTCTCTAAGAAATCTTTGTCAGTTTCTCTGTCCCCTTCCACCCCGTGAGAGCCACCTATCCTGGATCCCTATAGCAGTCACTGCCCTCATATACCAGCGTGCCTTTTCTTAGCTTCATGTATCAGAGTGGTTCTACCCCAGTAATAGTTGCCGTTGAGAGCCGAGGGCAGAGACCGTGGCCCACAGTGCCTATTCTGGTGCTAGGGATATTGTAGGACATGCCCAGTATACCTTTGTGGATTCACTCACCTGAGGGCTAGTCTAGACTCTGGGTTTTCAGTTATTGCAATAAGTCTCCCTTTGTCTCTGCTTGAATTGGCCCAAGGGGTGGTGAACCAGAGGGAGGTGTATGTGCTACTCATAGTATATGAGATTAGTGAGGAGTGGGAGGGAGAGGTTCATGGGTTTTTTAGTTTTGAGATATATATTTAACACGTATTTGAAATAAAAGAGAACATCTGATGACAATTTCACAAATCCTGTCACTCATAGGAAAGAATCCATTTAAAGAAAAAGCTTAAGATTGTGTAGGCAGTGTATGGATATGGCAGAGTCATTCAGACAGCCCGTGAATGACTGAATTTGGAGAACTCTAGCCTAAACTTATTCAGATGAACAGCTAGAGCCCCAGAAGCCCCAGCCCCTTGCCTACATCTTTCTTCCCCCACCCACCAGAGGGTACATTGGCTTACATGGGCAAGAGGAAAAAAAGGGGGGAAAGTGAGAAACCACCCCCATGAAGAATGGCCATGCGGGAACCAGCAGTTAGCGTAATGGCTATGTCACTGGACTCCCACGTAGTCGACCGTGGTTCGTGTCCCGGACCCGGTGGCTTAAAACTCACGCCAGGCGCGTGTGCGTGCGTGCCCAAGATCCCGAGAGGAGAATGGAGGAGAAGGGATTGCGGCGTGACCATCCCCTCTGGGGAGTGATTTCTCGCTTTCTGTCTCTATGTCTCTCTCTGTCTGTCTGGCAAGCACATGCGCCCTACAGTGAAAATCTCTCAAAAAAAAAAAAAAAAAAAAAAAATGGCCATGCCACAATCCCTTCTTCATCTCTCCCTCCTTTTGGGATTTTGGATGTGCACACACAAGCCCAGCATGTTTTCTAAGCCACCAGATCTTTTTTGTTGTTGTTGTTTTTAAGGTTTTTGCCATAAGGTACATTTGCTCCCCAGAGAGAGAGAGAGAGACAGTGAGAGGGAAAGTGAAGAATCACCTCCCAGGGGGGATGGCCACACTGTAATCCCTCCTCTATCCTCCTCCTAGGATTTGGATATACAGAGCTGCCATATGTTTACCCACATCTTTGTTGGACTTTTTCTTTCTCCCTAGTGCCCCATCCAAATATAAGCAGTTTCTTGTAACTTTAATTGCTCTAAAATTTACTAGTCCAAAGATATATCATGAATTGCTCTGAATCCTAGTGGGCAAATGGGAACATGAAAATCTATTCCCAATGTGGGCAGCAGAAAAACAGCTTCAGAGAAGCCCAGAGGTCAGAAGGTTGAACCTCTGCCCGAGGGAATCAGCTGTGGGTCTCTGTATTGCTGTTCCTGGAACTCTTCCTCTCTGCTCCAAGAAGTACCAAAGGACAGGAACACCCCTGGAATTTCCAAGCCACATGGACCTAGACTTTGCTGTGGGTGTTGTCTGGGACTAATGCAGTCCCAGCTGTGCTCTCAGGCCTGCTTGCAAAAGTATAGCAGACTCATGAGTTCATTTTCCATTCTCGGAATGGGAGCGTTCTCCCCCTTCTTTTTGACCTTCTGTTTTTCAGAATGAGCTTTCCTTTACTTGAAAGTGGACTGCTATGATTTGAGGATTTTGGAATTTCAAAAGCCCTTTGTTCTTACTAATAAACAAAACAGTTTACAGTTTAAAATAAAAGGTAGACCATCCTCTTACTGGGGATTTCTGGCTAGTGCTTGCTGAAACAGCTGGGTTACCTTAAAGTTGAATCAGCAGGACAGGGTGTGAATCAGCACTTCTCATTCAGTGTTGAGGGATATAATTTATAGATTGTCGGTGGAACTATAAATTGGTACAAACTGTAGAAGGTAACTTGGGAATATCTGTGAGAATTAAAAATGCTTGAACCCTTGGTCCTATCAGTTCTCTTTCTGGATCTTCATCTTTCACCTGTATTTACATGTGAGCCAAAAAATTTTCAGAAGAATCCATAGCAGAATTGCTTATAATGGCAGAAGATTAGAAATAACCTAAATGTTCATCAGTATAAAATTGGTTAAATCATAAGTCCTACTATTGGAGTTTTCTATAGCTATAAAAAACAGAGCTGCTCTTTATATATAAAATAAGAATTTCAAGATATGTTATTGAAAAAACAAGGTTCAGAACAAATGAGCTATCTTTTGTACAAGAGAAAAAAATTTTATGTCTCTATATAAGTGTGTGCTTACATATGCACAGAATATTCTTGGTAGGACACACAAGATAGCTAATTGTCTCTGAGAAGGGGAACTGGGAGACCAGGATAAGAGAGAGGGAGATTTTATGTAATTTGAATTATTCTTGCCATGTGCATATATTACCTGTTTCAACAATTTTAACAGAGTAATCCACTGTAAGTTTTAATATTCAATTGTTTTTTACTTTTCAAATCATTAGCATTTAATTTACTAGATAGTGAACTCAAAAAGTTTAAGAAGATGCATATGTATATATTATATACCCTTAGAAAGATGCTAACAGCTTTACTTGTTTTCCCCTCTCAACAGCTCACAGACACAGACCTCATTAAACAGTGTATAGATGAATGCACAGCCAGGATTGAAATTGGACTGCATTACCAGATTCCTTATCCAAGGCCAGTAAGTGTCACTCTGGTTAAGAGGTGGTGGGTACTTATCCTCTTTGTCAGCCAGGCTATTTCCTAGAATCTGTACCAAGAACACTGGTGCTTTCTCAGAAGCCTAGAGCCGTTGTAGGAGGCATATTAGAAATGAGCTATCCTGGGACCAGCAGATGGTGCAATGGTTACATCGCCGGACTTCCATGTAGTCGACCACAGTTTGAGTCCCGGACCCAGTGGCTTAAATTCATGCCAGGTGCATGTGCATGCCTGTCCAAAATCCCAAGAGGAGAATGCAGGAGAAGGGGTTGCGGTGTGGCCATCTCTCTTGGGGGGTGATTTCTTGCTTTCTGTCTCTCTGGAGTACATGTACCCTATAGCAAAAATCTATCTTAAAAAAAAAGAAAGAGAGAAACTATCCTTGCATTGTGCCAACCCACAGCAGCAAATTAAAATGTCAATGAATGCCTGATTACTCCTACTTGGTACAATGTTTCCATATACAGAAGGGAAAACCAGCTCAAATTTGTATAGTGGTTTTTCCTTTTTATTTATTTTTTAACTTTCACCTTTTTTACAGAAATGAATTTATTTTCCTTATTATAAAAGACAAGTTTATTGTTACTAAGAGAATAAATCTCAAACATTAAAGGAATACATAAAGCAGAAAGTGAAATTTTACACAGTATTGGTTCAACCTAGTAGTTTGATAATATATTCTTTAGTTTTTACCCCTTATAGTCACATATGTACATTTTATTTACATATATGGGGCTTGTGGCACACTGTTTTATTACCTACTTACTTTACTTCACCTCTTCTGGACACCTTTGTATGTATTTCTACCTTGGTCTTTTTAATGGCTGCATTGTATGCTATTCTAAGAATATGCCATGTATGATAATATCTTTAACTGGACATTAGTGTATTCATGCTAGGAAAATTCATTTTATATGCTATAATGATCTATATATTCAAACATATATTTAAAAATTATAAAGTATATTAACAAATTTTTAAATATTAAAAATTAATGTGCCATTGTATTAGTGAAGGTTCTTCAGAGAAACAGAACCAGTAGGATAGAAATATAGATATACACAGATCCATGTAAAAGGAAGTCTATGATGAGGAATTGGTTTATGCAACTGTGGAGACTCAGTAGTCCCTTGGTCTGATGTGCCATTTACAAGATAGAGACCAGGAGAAAGCCTGCAGTGTAATTCAGTCTGCATCCCAAGGCCCGAGGACCAGGACGTGCAATGGTGGAAATCCCAGCGTGAGAGTAAGAGATGATGAGATGTCTCAGCTCAGACAGGCAGGAACCAAAGGGGCGATATCCTCCTTCCTTTGCTTTTTTGTTCTTTTCAGGCCCTTAATTGATTGAATGATGCTTACCTACATTGGGGAAGGCAGTCTATACTGAGTCCATTGATTCAAATGCCAATCTCATCCAGAAACACCCTCATACCCAGAAATAATGTTTTATCTGGTCACCACATGGCTGGACAGATTTGACACATTAAAGTAACCATCACAGCCATTTTGTTTGGTTCCAGTGTTCTGCCATGCACTGAATGTTTTTGTATGTGTATACTTTTTCCTCCCCCTTCTTTGGATTTCCATTTTGCTATGTGATTCATCCTCATTTTTTTCCTTCCTGCAGCCAGTATGGCATAGAAAAGTACAAGCTCTGAAATCTGATATATCTGGTTCAAATCCTGACTCTACCACTTACTGTATAATCTTGAGCAAGTTATTTAACTTCTCTTAACCTCAGTTTCTCATGTATAAATATTGGAACAACTCCTTACAGGGTTATTATAAGGATTAATATGTGTAAAGATTAATGAGTCAGTGTAGATGTAGCACTTAGCAGAGAGTATGGTACTTAGTAAATCATCAGTGAATTTAAGCTACTGCAATGAAAAATTAAGATTCTAATATCATCATTATTATTATTCAGATTCATCTGCCTCCTATGGGCCTCACCTCAGTACGAGGCCGGGGACTTCGAAGCCAGGAGAAACTGAGGAAACTTTCTAAACCAGTATATCTCAAGTCTCATGATGAAATTTCCTAATCCAGAAAAAAGGTTACTTCTGGGAATGATGAGCCAACGAGGTCTTCAATGTAAACCAGAAGACAAAACACTTCCTGGTTAGGGTCAAAACTTTAAGTATCATCTTAAAGCTTCCAAAATGGATACTCACTACATGATGTGTGCCTACGTATTCCTAGGGATTGTCAGGGTCTTGCTCGGTGAATGGGTGACATTAATCCTGGAAGTCATGGACCTTACATCCTCACTGAAGTCACCTTTGGAAACAAGACTGAGGCCTATGGGAGGAAAGCGGAAGGATTGAAAAGCTTTTTTTGTCATGGGAATGCCCTTCACCACATATGCCAACTTTAGCCCATTGCTGAAAGTTCTTATGGCTACTGTAAAGCTATATAGTACTCATAGAATATTTTTAGACTTATTCCAAGTTATATATTTGTTTAAAAGTGGTTTTTCTTGTTTGTGCATTTTTTTTTAATTCATCCAGTTTTCAGATAACTACACTAAGAAATGCATCATTGGATTGATCATGGATTTTCATGGAAATTTTATATGAAAACTCATTCCTGTCTTAATTAAATGCATGGTTACCTTATCTTAAATCCTGGGATTACTTAGGATATACCTAGGATTTGAAAAGCAAACTTAAAACTCACACTGCATTCATTATGAGTATTTTATCTTAATGTAAATTGAAAAGTACAAGGGCCAAGCTGCCTCTCAAATTATGTCTAAATAGAAATAAATAAGTAGAGATGAAAACAGAAAGGAGTCAGGTGAGAATCTCAATGGCAAGCCACAAGTCACTTGTTCATCATTTCATTCCCTTTTATCCAAAGAGGATGGGCAATACCAATAAACACAAGTCTTTACCAGTTTTAGTTTCTCTGTATTCCTTTTTAAAATAGGCTCATGACCCTCAGAAGTAGCAGATAGAACTCACTCCTATGAGCAGAAGCGTACTCTTTTTTTTTTTTTGGAGAGATTTTCACTGTAGGGCGTGTGCGCTCGCCAGACAGACAGAGAGAGACATAGAGACAGAAAGCGAGAAATCATCCCCCAGGGGGGATGGTCACGCCACAATCCCTTCTCCTCCATTCTCCTCTCGGGATCTTGGGCACGCACGCACACGCGCCCGGCGTGAGTTTTTTAAGCCACTGGGTCCGGGACACGAACCGCGGTTGACTATGTGGGAGTCCAGCAACATAGCCATTACGCTAACTGCTGGTTCCCTTTTAAGTTTACTTATTTCTTCTGAGGAGAGAGGAAGAGAGAACGAGTAAGACAGTCATTCCCACAGGGTCTTCACGCCCACAATCCACTCCCTGAATCATGGGCACACACATGTACTTGACATGCACACCTGTCTAGCATGCACAAGAAGGATTGAGGATGTGAACCCAGGACCCTCCCCTGTGGATCCAGTTATATTATTGTTGCACCACCACTTGGCACCAGGGGCAAACTTTTTTATGCTCCAGGTAAATATTACAGAATTTGGCAAGACATGGAGAACAAATATACTATATATCAATTGTGTAACAGTATATATATATTTGATCCAAACGAAGCTAAGCCTTTGATGAAGACAGAGAAATTTAAATGTGCTGGCAAGTATGTTGGCCATTCCATGGCCACTCAGTGAGCATATATACCAGGTTAGCTTGAATTGGGAGACATGACTCTGCTGTGTCTTTGATCCCTCTCCTTCCAGCTGGTCTTTCTGTGGAAGCATCTTCCTGCCCAGAAGTGTTTTTTTTTCTTCATTTTCTTAAATTTTGCCAGAGGGCATGTGCATGCATCAGAGAGCCAGAGAGAAAGGAGAAAAGCACTGCAGTCCCTTCATCTTGTCAGTATTTGCAGCACACTCGCACACATGCCTGGCATGTTCCCCAAGCCACCAGGTCTAAGACTCGAACTACATGGTTGCTGGCCATGCGGGATCTCTTAACCACCAGAGGTATTTCTAATGTTTAAAATTATTTCCTATGCAACATAGGGTCTGTGAACTCAAGCCAATGACTTTGGTGGTGTCAATAAGTTAGTGGCATGTTCCTGCACTGAAGGAAAAACTTGCTATGCTAGACCAAGTGGGACATGGCCTGCCTGTCTCTGTTGTGGTCCTTTTTTTTGAGAAACTTGAGGTGATTTTGACTATGTACAATTTTGGCTTTACTCTACTGAGTATAGAAACTACCTTTCCCACCCAGCCTCCTCCAAGATGAAAGTCCATCTAATTGTTAGCCAGCCTTTGTATATCTTCCACATGCCGGGAATCTTAATTATGTATGACTTTTATATGCCTACTCCCCTCTGCAAAGATGCATGTGTGTGTGTGTGTGCATATAAAATTTGCTATAGGGAGCATGTGCTTGCCAGAAAGAGAAAGGGAAAGTGAGAAAGTATACCCCTCCAGGGAGAATGACCACACCACAATCTCTTCTCCATTCTTGGGATTTGGGGCACACTTAAACATGTGCCTGAAGTTTTTTTTTTTTTTTTTTCTTCTTTTGAAGAGGTTTTTGCTATAGGGCACGTGCACTCGCCAGAAAGACAGACGCAGAGAGAGAGAAAGCGAGATATCCCCCCCCAGGGAGATGGCCATGCCGCAATCCCTTCTCCTCCATTCTCCTCTCAGGGTCTTGGACACGCACACACATACACACGGCGTGAGTTTAAGCCACTGGGTCTGGGACGTGAACCGTGGTCGACTACATGGGAGTCCAGTGACATGGCCATTACACTAACTGCTGGTCCCTCCTGAAGTATTTTTAAAGCCACCTGGTCTAGGACTCAAACTGTGCAGTCGGCCATGGGAGATCCATCCAACTTTATCACCACACCACCTCACTAGCCCCGATACATTAAAAAAAAACCGTCAATATGCTATCAAATCTTCCATAGAATTTGTGTTTTAATAGTACCCCCCCATTTTCTCTCCATGACTATACAAATCCCCTTCAGTCTTTTAAAGGTAGGACCTACTACCTTCCTTATATCCTCTCCTTCAGTGGCATTTTCTTCTAATATAGACAAGATCTGAACAGAACCGCTTACCTAATAGCTAGATTTTTAAAGAGCAAGGACTAGTTTGATGACAAGCTTTGTCTGATGTCATCTGCTGAGCTATTTATAGGCAGGTCCTGCAGCTTCTCACTGAGCTGATCTCTGGCCATCTCTGCTTCAGAATGCCAGCCTCTAACTCACCACGATTTCTGAAGAGCATATTGCTTTTTCCCAGGAGGAGACATTATTTACCACAATGGCCCCAGTAGAAAATGACCTCAAATTAAGACAATCTTTCTTTTTCAAAGCAAAGGAATTTTTTTAAATTATAAAAACTTAATCCATGACATGAAAACATTCTATCTCTTGACCCCTGAGGAATGAGACAGTCTGTTCCTGCCTCCCTCAGCGTTTTGTTGCTGAAACTGGAGTTAGATAACTGTAATTAAAATTCATTTGTTCTCTTAGTAATCCCCTCAGTGCCAGCTCCTTTATAGCTCACATTGTGACTTACCCATCCAATTCAGGGACTTGGGATCCTGACCATCTTTTCATCTCCCAACAATTTCATTTTAAACAATACAGCAGTCCCAGCCATCTGTTCATTCTGATTCTTTTCCCCAAAGTTGGATAAAAACTGTGTTTCTTTCTTGAAAAAGTAACTGGTAAGCTACCTGCTTTGAGCTAACAGGGACTGGATCCACCTCACTGTCTCTTTACTGTCCCTTGGCAAGATTTGGAACTTTTCCCCCTTCACTTAATCTCTGGGATGATTTACTGATCTCAGAATCCAGATTCTTCAGTCAGAATTTGCTCGGCACCACGGAAAAACTGAAACTGCGCTTTTCTGGAATATGTTTATTTGATTCTTAGAAGCTTCCCACATTCAGGAAAAATCAAAGATCCTGAGTCAGAACGTTTTTTTCTAGTGAAGAGGCAGAGAAGCCCAGGGCAAACACATGTAGGCTCTCAAGCACCTTTATATCTTTACTTATTGAAGTGGCCAGTGGAACACCATGAAAGAAACTAGTCACTTACAACCAAAGGACTACATGAGAGAGTGAAAAAGTAATATATCAAAATTTGATTTCCATCTCAGTATTCTCATCCAGCTGCCTTTAGAGAGAAACAAGTGATTAAAATTTCTTGGACATGGTTGTATAGATGGTTGTGTAGTCTCTTCTAAGATTCTGCATCATAACACAGTCAAGTCCTTGGCAGGGAGGCAGCATGTGGTAGTAAAAAAATGCATGAGTTCAGGAGCCAGACCACAGGTCAAAATCTGACTGTACTGGGAAAGAGCTGAGTGTTCCTCAGCAAGTTACTTGATCACCCTGAACTTCTAGAGGGAAAGACAATCATTCCCACAACATAGGGTCAAATAAGCCATCTAAAAGCCTGTACACAAATCTTTGCACCTAATAGACATACAACAAATACTGGTTCTCTGACTTTCCCTTTCTTCGTGAAATTTCAGCCCATTTGTGTAGGCTAGTACAGGGACAATTGGGTCCTAGTTCTTCTATGATGAGGCATGGAACTTTGGGCTAGTTAGTTTTCTAAACTTCCATTTTTGCACCTGTAAAATAGAGATAATACCTACTGCATGAGATTATTGTTAGTAACACATTTTAAACATATCAAGAGCCTTAACGAAGGGTCTTAACTAAAGAGCCTCTTCCAGTCTCTCAGAGGCCTTGATAGTGGGCTCAAAATGGATTGACAAGGGAAGAAGTGATTGAAATTTCATGACAGTTTCAGAAAAATAATAGGAAAAAAATTAATAAATAACAAGAGAACTTAGCCAAATAACTCAAAGTCTAGGGTGATGAGTCTCACTGCCTGTGTTCAAATACTACTTTGAACTATCTGATCTGGAAGATATTACTTTCAGTGTATCTAAGTTTGCAGCCATAAAATAAGAGTAATAACCTACTTTATAGGGCTGCTGTGAAATACCTGGCTAATAGCAGTTGCTCCATTAATGTAATTATTGTCATTAGCACTCTCATCATTACACCAAGTGACTCTCAAGAAAGGAAGGTAGGTTATAGTAAAGAATGAAATGCCTTTTATTTTCTGTTTTGAGACATGTCATCAGTTATCCAGCTGACACAGTGAGGCTACCCCTCGGTTTATCCAGTGCTTCTGGGGCATATCGGTTGGGAGCTCAATGGAGAGGACATAGTTGGTAGAGTGGCCTGTGGTGGAGAGGATGCCCCTTCGGGCACTTGTTTTATAGACTGGACACACGTAAATGTCCTGATGCAGAAACGTTGCACTTTTCCCAGGTTTCAGCCAAATGATGGGCAGTGGGTCATAGAGGATTTTGGGGAAAGACTCTGCAATCTGCATCGCTTTCCTGTCCCAACGGGCACCTTCTAAGAAAAGCCCTTTTATGTAGGCCCCATCTTCTGGGTTAGTCTCCATGACAGTTTCTTGGGTTGTTACCTGGAAGAGTAGAAAGCTGTGAGTTCCATTACCTGCCGCTTTCCCATATGGGGCAGCATTAGCAATTGGAATCTTTTGGTACCCAAAATGCAACCTGGATGCAACATCTGTCTTTCCCAGGGTACATCCCCAAGGACAGTAGAGATTCTGTGATAATAGTCTTACCATACATTGGCCAGATCTGATCTTTAGTCAACATGCTACCCTTATAGGCTCACCATTATAAATGGTGAGCATATAGAATGCACTAAAGTACGAGTAAGAATGCCACATTAATAATATGCTTAGTGACCTTTCACACTCCCTTTCTTTTCAGGACCTGAATCTTTAAGGGGAGGAGTTAAATCTGGATTCAGAGTCAGGCTGATAAGACAGTCCTGGGGATGGGACAGGAGGAATAAAGTTTTAATTTGCAGTTTTGTCTATTTCTGTGGTATAGACTCCCACCATGGTCAGCTCATAGAATTCCTGAGAAGGTAACAGCTGGCTCTGGTCAGCTGTTGTGAATGAGCTCCAGCAATCAATGTCTAGATTCAGAAGTGATAAACTCAAATTCCATCACGTAAATGCAGAAGATGGTCTAGGTATGAGAGAACAAGGAGTGGTGGAGAAAGAGTACACACTCCATTTAATAAAATTCACATACTAATTTTTTTGTTTCTTTGTGAATGAAATATTTTTCCTCTTCTAATTCAAAGGCTATTGATTTTGTATATTTAGCCAATATTCAGTCACTACAAATACTCCTATGAATTCCCTAAGTGTGTTTTTTAGTCACTTGGGATTTCTGGGTGTACAATCATTTCAACATCAAAAAGATGAGTTTATCTTTTCTTCAAGGTTTATCCTATTTTGTTAATGTATTTATTTTGTCTTAACTTAATCTTCAAAGGCCCATGAAGTTAAGTACATTTACAATAGAAATTAAGACCTAGGACAACTATTAGGTTGTCAGGAAAGTCATAACGTAGTTTTCTACGCAAAAATGCATCTTTATATACAGAGCCTTGGAATCCTCTGATTTTATAGGGAGTTGCTTTTAGATACTTTACATACTTCATTTATACACTCTCAGAAGCATTTGGGCCTTAACACACCGAAGTATTTGGACTCATAAAGACATAGGTAACATTACTTTCTCTAGTTATCTACTTGAACTGGCCCTAACTCAAAGCCACTCCTACCTCAAACTCAAATCCAATGTGGTCAATGGGGATGGTGTATTTCCGGGAATAATTCTGAGAGACACCCGTCAAAAAAGACTGTGTGAAGTAGAATCCAGAGATCCAAAAGACCACAGGGGGACCCTTGTCAATCCATTCCTGGAGAGCCAAGGAATCAAAATTCAAAATCAGTGATATATCAAAGATAGCTCAAAGCCAAGTTGTATAAACAGTGCCATAAAGAAATGACTTCTTTCTCATTTTTTTCTTGAAACAGGCAGTACTCTTGGTTTAGCTTGTATTTTCCTACTTTTAAAGTGAGGGTACAGAGAAATATATTTCTACTTTAAGCACCAGTGCAATGTGGTGCCAAGGATACAATAGAGAATAGTGCAGACTGTAGCAGTAGAGAATGTCTACGCCGAGTAGCAACTATTCATCTCCAGCAATAGTTGCCATGCAAGAGTGCAGGCTCATTGTTTCATGTTCTCTATTTTTCTGCAGGACAAACATCTGGATTGTTAAGTGTAAAAATCCAATGTGTATATATTAGCTCAATAATTTTAAAATTATCTGACAGTTAAACCAAACATACCTATTGGCCAAACCTGACCCATGACCAGCAGTCTATGACATTTATTGTAAATTCCTACTTTTGCCTCCATAATCTACAGTCTTTCTAAGGACTCTGAAAAGTCTCCCGCCTGCCCCCAACTCTGGGAAGACTGTTCACAGGTGCTCAATCTGGAATGATGCAGTGGCAGCCTGTCTGCCTGCTCTACTCACCCTGCCTCTAATCTAACATTTCAGACTGCCCTCTCTGTGTAAATAACCATGCCAGGTGCCCACTTTCCCTGGCTCCCAGATACCTGAAAGAAGGTCAGGCGGGTCAACAGGTCAGCCACATAGCCCCCCAGAGGCTTTAGGGATGGGTAGGACTTGGCTGCCCACATGGCTGGCACTTTACCCACAAGCATGCTATTAAAAACTTCCTCTAGCTCCGAAGACATCAGGACCTGCCCTTTGATGGCTCGGCCAATAGTGATGAGGCTTCTGCGAACCACTTTGGTGAGCCTGCAAGAATAAAAGAACTGATGAACCTGGCTGTCCAGTGGCCTCATTCTACTCAAGAACATTGACTCTAGGTCTCATTTTAGTTTTCTTATCTTTAAAAGGTCAGTTACTGCATAATCATTAATTGAGAAAAAAATTAATCACCCATTACCTCACCACCTAAAGATAACTTTGATGTGTACCTTTCCAGGTTTTCCTCTATGTAAATGCAAATTAATTTTTAATGGGATCTTACTATACAATCTTTTCATAATCTGTTTTTCTTTTTAGTATATAGGGAATACTTTTCCAATCTAATAAATAGAAACTTATATCATTTTTAAAGACTGACAAGTGTTTCAGTTTGTTTAACTATTCCCTTATTGTTGAAACATCTTATTTCTAGATTGTTGTTATTGTGAAAACTAGTGTTAGAAACAAACATCCCTATCAACCTTTGTGCAAATTTCTAATTATTTTCTTTCTTTCTTTCTTTTTTTTTTTTGGAGAGGTTTTTTCTATAGGGCACATACGCTCACCAGAGAGACAGAAGGCAAGAAATCACCCCCCAGGTGGGATGGCCACAACACAATCCCTTCTCCTCCATTCTCCTCTCGGAATCTTGGGTACGTGCGCACACATGCCCAGTATGAGTTTAAGCCACCGGGTCCAGGACTCAAACTGTGGTCAACTACATGGGAGTCCAGTGATATAGCCATTACGCCAACTTCTGGTCCCTAATTATTTTCTTAGTAAAAGAATTTCTGGGTCAAAGGCACACACAGTTTTAAGAGTTTTGATCCATATTGCCAAAGTTGTTCTTTTCATAGACTATGAGAGGCACATCTCAGAAAAGGCAACTGAAGGGTAACTTGAGAGATGCCAAGATCACCTTCTCTCTTTCTGGCATTGTGTATTCTGAGGCCCAGCCAAGCCCAGAATGAACTCACTTGAAAGTATCAAAGAATCTGCCACCAGAAAGAGTTTGCCATCTCCAAAGACTTACAAACTCTTAACTGAATAAACATGAAAGAGACCAAACACAGAAAAGGGATTCCTGGATGTGTAATTACTAAACTTTCATTTCAAGAGGAATTTAAAGTTCAGACTTTGGTGCACATGTTTGCTGAGGAGTGAAGAGGCAAAAACACCATCTGAGGGGTTATACCACAGATCTCTCTTATACCTAAAGATCTTCTTTTATAATTATTTTAATTTTGTTTATTCATTAATTTATTTATTTTAATTTGACCAGACAGAGTCACAGAGAGAACTAGAGAGAAAAAGTGAGAAGGCAAGTCACTAGGTCCAGGACTTGAACCACTGTCGGCCATGTGGGAGTATCTAGTGCCTTAACCACTATGCCACCTGCTGGTCCCACACCTAAAGATCTTCTTAAAAAAAATTATTTGTAATTCTTATAACTATGAACTTTGCTAGTTAAGAGCTCTTAATACCCAAGGAATGAACACTTGCCCCAGGAGTTACAGTAATGGTTCTCTTGAAATTGGAGGCTGAACTGTCACAGTCATTTTGGGCTTCCCATATCACTGGGTAAATAGGCAAAAGAAAAAAAAAAAGGTAATCAGGAGGAATATTAGAGTATTGCTTAATATGGATCATCACTGGGAGATAGGATTGCTGCTACCCTATTCTCTTGCAGCCATTGGCAAAAAGCTAGTGAAGGCCTCTCCAACCACCAAGGCTGAGCTCCAGTGGTCTTCAGAGAGACTGGGTAGCACAAGAAGGAAGTCCACAGGTCTGGTGTTTGACTGGATGAACGGGAACTACAGCCCATCATTCCTAGATGAGTTTTATTATCTGTTAATCTGTAAAATGGTGGCAGAGGGATTAATAATTGTGCCTATTTTAAAAGAAATAGTGTGGTTTGAATGAGAACCATGCACAATGCTTGGAAACATACTCAGACCTAAGTACTCAATAAAAGTGACTTTAATGATGGCTTTTACTACTAGCCTATGCTTAGTACTGGTTTTAATCTGACTTTCTAGATGTCAAATGATGACCAGGATAGAATGAGTAGGAGCGACACATCCTGGGCCAACACATGCTGGAAATGGCCCTATTTTATAGCTCTCCCAATAGGAGGAGCAAACCACTTGCTCTGTATAGAAGCTCCTTATCAAGTGTCCATCTCAGGTAATGTTCATTAGTTCCTACCCCTTACACTCTAATGCCCAGGATCCAAGTAAGGCATCTGGCCCACCTGTTGAATCTGATGAGTTCTTGCCTCAGGACAGTGTTCATTGATTCCTCATAGACCACAGGGTACAAATTCATGACCTCTTCTAGGTTAAAGTCTTCGGGAAGCTTGGAGAGTATGTCCTGGGCCAGCTCCTGAACCACTTCCTTAAAGTGCAGTCAGAGACATGTGAGTGAGAAACAAGACTGAGGCTGTGGCTTTATCTGGGTAAACTCAAAGTAGTGAGCCTCTGTCTGTTTTTCTATGCAAAAATGTGTCATGACCTTCCTGACAACCTATTAGTTCAAAAATGTTATACAATGAAGTTGAGGTGATTTGTGGCTATTGCAAAAGAAACATGAAAGTTATAACTGACATGTTGGAAATTCTGGTTCTTTTTTAGCTTTGTATCTAAGGACTCTTGACAATAAGACCAGAGAACTGACACCTCCTCCCCACTCCCCACCCCAAGGTTTGCCAGGCCTCCACTTCTGGCTTTCTTGGTCATCACCCGCATGATCCTGTGTGGCTACTAGATGGACAGTTGTCCAGGAGGTTGAATTATGTCTTCCGGCTCAAGCCTGGTTACCTGAGGGGACTTCCCACTCCCTCCTGACTGCCTTGGGAGGGTTAGCAGCACGCCTTGAAACAGCTGGTTGGTTTCTTGGTTGTCCTTGGTGATGTCAGCATTCTCATGGAGGCCAAACACTTCTGGGTGGGCTGTGATAGGGAGTGTCCTGAGATAGTCGATATAGGACTGGAAAGGAAATCTTCAGTTGACATAAATGCAAGATCCCTGGGAACCCACAGATGACTCAGGGCTTAACTTAACCCAACCCAAACAGGAATCCCACTGTATGACCACATACACATACACAGCTCCTGCCCACCACCCCCACACACAGGCTGTGTGAACACATCACAAGCTCTTTCTTATACAGTTTTCTGGGCAGATGGGGATGAGTACCTCCCCTCCCATTCCTGGCTTTCTACTACTATACAAGGCAGTCCTGGCTCTGAAGTCAGAACTGGGTTTGGACCCTGGTGCTATTACAAACTAATTGTGTAATCTCAGGCTAGTCGTCCAAAAGCCCACTCCCTCATCTATAAATGGGAAGACAAATGGAATGGTAAAGGAATAAGGCTTTGGCATGTGACAAGTGATCAGCAAAGGCAAACTCTTTCTCATCTTTTATCCAGATTTCTTGAGTCCACTTTCTCACTCTCCTCTCTAGTGTCCTGTCCCTCCTCTTTTGTTACCTGCTAAACCTTTGTTTTCAAGCATTAATTTTCATCCTGTTTACTACCAGGGCTTCATATTACCCATCCTTCTTTCCTCCCACCCCTAAACCCAGAGAGAACACATATTTGGAAAGACCTTGTCTACCAAATACCCAGCAATCATTAAACAACAATAATGCCTCTCTTTAGATTTTCTGGAGTATTGGACTTAGCTTATGGTCCAAAGTCAGGAAGCCCAAGATTACCTTTGGGTTCTACTGTAGGCTCTATCCATGTGGAGACTACTGAGCTGCTCCAGGGAAAAAGGAGGGCCCTCCTTACCCCCCTCACCTGGTAGGAGCCATGAGGAGGAATGTAGTAAGTGTCTCCAGGAGCAAGGTAGTATTGGTCCTGCTCAATTTCCTTGCAGTAGAAAGTGGACAGAAGGGACAACAGGAGACGTCTGTCTTTGTCATCAGTCACTCTACCTCCATAATTACATTCCCCTGGGGACAACCAACAGAGGAAGTTGTTGAACCCAGGGAAGGTTATAACGAGTTTGATCATTAACCTGAAATGGGATTCTTCCAGCCAAGGAACTCTGCTGAGACATGGGGTTGCAGAAGCCTTGCTCAGTTTGGGATGAAAAGTTCTTTCTCGTATTATGATTGCTACAAAAATAATATATGCTCACCATACTAGAAATTGGAAAAGAAAGATAAACCAAAATAAAAACAATACAACCACTAGGAATTCTACCAAAGACAAGTATTTGTATTTAAGCATCTTCCAAACATTTTATTTTCTGTGTGCATATACACATATATGTGAAAGGCATTTTTAAAAATGTGGTTTTGGGAAAGGACTTTAGCATGAACAGTCCTGAGTTGCAATTCCAGTTCTGCTACTTAATAGCAGTTTCTCACTGGGCAAAAAAAGTTAAAATAATTGCAATACCCAGTTTGCAAGGTTGTCGTTAAGACTCACTGAGATAATGTCTGTGAGGCATTTAGCATGATGTTTAGCATAGAGAAAGCATGCAATTAATCACAGCTATTATGAATACATACATTTTAGAATACTGAGATTATTAGGTATATATAGTGCTTTTGGGATAGGACTTTCCCTAGTCTCTCCTCCATTATCTCCATTAAATTTTTAACAACTTTCTCTGAGACTTGGGTTTCTACATTCATATTTCTTTTTTTTTTAAAGGTTTATTTTACTTACTTATTCATTTATTTATTTTTTTTGCCAGAGGGCTCACCAGAGAGAGACAGTGAGAGGAAAAGTGAGAAATCATCCCCCAAGTGAGATGGCTACACCACAGTCCCTTCTCCATTCTCTTCCTGGGACCTTGAGCATGCATGCACACTTGCCTGGTGTGACCCTTAAGTTGCCAGGTTCAGGACTCAATCACACTTGGCCATGTGGATATCCAACATCTCAATCACCACACCACCTCCTGGCCCCCATTCAAATGTTCAGGACTCAATCCACACTTGGCCATGTGGAAATCCAGCACCTCAATCACCATACCACCTCCTGGCCCCCATTCAAATGTCTACAAAAAGAATTAGGTAATTCTTTGGAGGGATGTCAGATGTAGCTCACCAACCTCATGACACATTTTCCAGCTGGACCAAATTCTATAATATTATAGTTGTGGGTGCCACCTGGTATTTGATAGTTTGGGTCAGTGCACTAAGTTTGTAAGAAGGTATGTGTGTGTGTGTGTTTGTATGTATGTGTGTGTGTGGGGGGGGTGGTGGTGGGTGTGTGAACATGACACAGGCAAGGGTTCCCTGAAGAGTGGGGTCATTCCCAATTTCTTTTTTTCCTCTTTAACTTCCAAAGGGTACAGACACCCATCAAAGAAAGACACAGAGAGACAGAGGGAGAAAGCATTTCCCAAAAGAGCATGGTCACACCACAATCTTTTCTCCTCCATTTCTCCATTCTGTCAGGATTTGGGGCATATACACACTTGGCTTGTTCAACAAGCTGCTAGAGCTGAGATTCAAATTGCACAATCAGCCATAAAGGATCCAGCTCTCTGAACCACTAGGCCATGGGCCTGGCCCAACCTTGGCACTGTTAGTATGTTGAACTGGACAGTTCTGTGTTAGGGAACTATCCTGTGCATTACTGAATGTTTAGTGGTATCCCTGTCCTCTGTTCACTAGATGCTAGTAGCACCCTCCTTTAGTTATCATAACCAAAAACATCTCCAGACATTGCCAAACACACACTGGGAGAAAAATCATCCACAGTTGAGAACCACTCCTCTAAAGCCTCAGTGTCCTCAGCTATAATATATGGTTACTAATGGAGCTCGTGATGGCTGTGAAGACTCAGTGGATTGATCCTGCCATGAGGTTGGGGAAAGGATCCAGACAAACTCCTTCACACAGGGAGCTGAAGAATAATTGTGTGTGATCTTGAAGACGCCATTGGGCTGCGTTTTACATTTAGCCATGGTATCCTATTTGACATATCACTATTTTATTTACTGTCTTTGAGACTACATAGTATGTTCCTTAAGGGAAATGACCAGGCTTTATACATTTGCAGCCATCATATTATGTGCTGATAAATACTAGGTGACTAGTAAAAGGTTGCTAATAGTTGCTTTAATACAAAACAACTAGTAATGTTTCCACCTCAGGATCCCTCTGCTGGGAATGCTTTTTTTCTTCTCTCCCAAATCCACTCCCCCCGCTGCTTCTTCCACTTGTAAAATTCCTACTCATTTCTCAAGATCCATCTTTTATACTTTTCAGACAGTTTTCCATGATCATCTCCCCCCAACCCCAAGATTTAACCATTTTACCACCTTTCCATTTTATACATTTCTTTTGTTGAGTTTACCTGTATTATCTTTTACTTCTTTATATTGTTCCCCTATTGCAGAATGCGAGTCACTTGAACATGGGTTTTTTTCCTCCCTTAAATTTTTTTAGTAATATCCAATACGATGACTAACATTAGTAAGACTTATTAAACGAATGAATGAGAGAAGGGATGAGTAAATAAATAAATGGAGGGCCAGCTGGTGGTGTGGTTGTTAAAGCAGCTGGATCTGCATGGCAGGCAAGTCCCAGACCTGGTGTCTTAAAAAACATGTGTGTGTGCCCAAAATCTCAAAAGGAGAAATGGAGGAAAAGGGATTGTGGCATGGCCATTCTCCATGAATGTGCTCTTTTCTCTCCCCCAATCTCCAACCCCACCACCTGGCCTTTCTCTCTAGGGAATACATACACCCTCTAGCAAAAATTTTAAAAATAAATGGAGATGGGAGCAGAAGAGCCGGAAGGTGGGCTGAGACACTGGAGGTTAACAGCAACAAAGCTCCTCCCACAAGTACCTGTCAGGTAAGTCAGAGCATCAAATGGCACCTCTTTGTACTCATTGAGAAACATCTGGATCTGCCGCATACTAATCCTGAGGTCAGATTCGTTGAATTCATAAGGGATATTCCAACCTACAAGAGGCGGAGAAGCATTAAAAACTTCAGTGCTGGGAAAAGCAGTTAGCATAATGGCTATGTCACTGGACTCCCATGTAGCTGACTGTGGTTTGTGTCCTGGACCCGGTGGCTTAAACTCATGCTGTGCGCGTGTGCGTGCATGCCCAAGATGCCGAGAGGAGGATGGAGGAGAAGGGATTGCAGTGTGGTCACCCCCCGCTAGGGGGTGGTTTCTCGCTTTCTGTCTCTCTGTCTCTCTCTGTCTTTCTGGCAAGCACATGTTCTCTATAGCAAAAACCTCTCAAAAAAAAAAAAAAAGAAAAAAAGAAAAAAAAAAATTCAGTGCTGAGAGCTCTTCATTTCCACTCAGAGATCCAGCCAGTGAAGTTAAGCATCATTATGAATCAAGAGCCTCTTTCAGCCTCATGAATATCAAGCGCCCAGCCAACTATTAGCCTTGACGTTTACTGCCAACGTGGGAGCCATTCTGCCTGAGAAAACATCCATTCTAAAATCACTTTCCTTATAGATCTCCCCATTTGTTAAGGAAGATGTTAACATTCTGGGGTTTGTGGAATGAGAATTATTCACCCTGGCTGGAATACTGTGATAACGCAGTAAGCTCCAAAAATAACACTAAAGCATAGCTAGAGAGTAGTAGCTGTGATTGGGCAACCGAACTAAGTTGGTTTTGAAAATTCCTCTCCTCATGCTCTTGGGAGAACTGAATGGCCAGCTTTGAAGAAACTGCCACTGTATCTCCAAGGGTATAATAAATGCCAACTGGGGATGGACAAGTGATATAAATGTGCAAACTGGACTTGGTGTGGGACAGCAAGGTATGGTGGGATCAACAGAGACATTTGATATCCTCCTAAACATTCACATCCAACTCAGACTACAATATAACAAAATAATAAACTGCGTGTGCTGGCAAATGAATCACAACTGGAAAGCTAGTTGTAAACCAGACTGCTGCATGGATTTGTAGAGGCCCAGTGTGAATGGGACAGTGGTGGTAGGAGAATGTGGTGTATGAAATGCAGACAGAGACAGAGTGTCTCACTTGGCTCTTCTGTCCCTCCACTGCCTAGCAGAAGACTCAGGGGCTCTGTGGAACTAACAGGGGCTAGAGTATAGAAATAGAAGGAACAATAGGAGGTGCTCAGAGAGAACTACAAAGAGAACAATTTGACTTCTGATCTAACTCTAAAAACCTGCTAAGAGTACTCTGAATACTCTGAATTAGGTCATTTCAAAGACACTGAACCAAAGGTACCCAAAGGCCCCCATAGGTGAGAGAAAGAGAATTCAGTCTTAAAAACATGATGACATGGCATTTGTAATGAAAAGTTTTGATGATCTGCTTTAAGAAGATTATTAAGTTACTCATATATTAGGCTGTGGATAGGTCATGATAATAAAGAAATGTTTTTTTTTTTTTAAGAACAAACACCAATTCCCCAGGTATATGTCTGTCTTTCATTGTTACACAAACATAAAGAGAACTACCTTAAATGTTATCAGTCACTTGGTGACAACACTCTGGAGAATAGTCATTGTGCCTAAGATAGGCACACACATGCCCAAGGAAAGTCTCCAGTCCTCTCTTTCTCATATTAATTCAGTAATTAGGGGACCTCTGACTTGGGAGCCTCCCCTCTCTCCCTGACATTGACATAAACATGGTTATATGGTTCCCAGATTTAGCAAGAACAAACACCAATTCCCCAGGTATATGTCTGTCTTTCATTGTTACACAAACATAAAGAGAACTACCTTAAATGTTATCAGTCACTTGGTGACAACACTCTGGAGAATAGTCATTGTGCCTAAGATAGGCACACACATGCCCAAGGAAAGTCTCCAGTCCTCTCTCATATTAATTCAGTAATTAGGGGACCTCTGACTTGGGAGCCTCCCCTCTCTCCCTGACATTGACATAAACATGGTTATATGGTTCCCAGATTTAGCAAATTAAAATACAAGACAGTACATTTTAATTTCAGATAAATCAAAAAAATTATATTAATATAAGTATGTCCCAAATATTGCGTGGAACATACTTATACTAAATACTTATTGCATTTTACTGACAATCCTATCTGAGTGCAAACCTGAATGCACACCTGTACATACTTGCACCTGCCCATGATTCTTCTACCCCAGGCAACCTATACACTGCCATTGCTTACCTAGGGGTCCAAAGTTTCTCCTCTCTTGAACAATGGCATGGAAGAAGCAAAGGCCAAACAACAGCTTTTGCCACATCACCACCTTTGTGCAGCTTTGGAAGAACACAGGGTCTGAAATGGGGTCATTGAGGTAGGAGCGCAAAAGGTTGGCCCGGAGCCCTTTGGGGGGTTCATTGGTCATTTTGATTCCATTCTGAAGAATGCTGACTGGAAACTTCTCTGATGGATAGCTGGTTAACCATAGTCTGGAACAATAAAAGACCCAACTATTTAGAGCAATGCAATAAGTTATATTGAAAAACATCAATAAAAGTAATAGCTACCATTTATTGAGCACCATTAGATGCCAAGCCTATGCTAAGAATTTAATATGTATTCTTTTATTTCCCTTAATTCTTGCAACCACACTATGAAAAGGGATTTATTATCTCTTTATACCAGTGGGGAAACAGTGAAATGAAGAGGTCAGATGGATTTTCAAGGATAAAGCACTTAGAAGTGGCTGAACTGAGATGTGAACTTGGGACTCTAACTCCAAAGTCCCTGCTCTTACACCCATCACTCATCCCCTGCTGGACTTTCTGAGTAACAAGTATGGGTAAAGTGTTATACCAAACACCATAGGAGTGACCTAAGTGAATGGAGCATTGTTTCTAACCACCATATAATCACAGCCTTATTGCTAACAGAAAAGTGGGGCTTGGGGAAAAAAAAGAGAGAGCGAGTGATTGAGATGTTATACTCCAAAGCATCATAAAATCAAACTATAGGGAAGGAGAAAATAGCCAGGGAGCTGAATCCAGTTAATTACCTGTATTTGTAAATGAAGTTTTATTGGAACATGGCTATGTGTCTTCATTTATATATTATATTGTCTGTGGCCGCTTTCACCCTTCAGTAGTAGAGTTGAATAACTCTAGTAGAGATCATATGGCCTGCAAAACCTAAAATATTTACTATCTGACCCTTTATAGAAAAAGTTTGATTTCACCTGTCATATTGGAGGTAGTATTTGAAATGTGCTTTAAGAATATGGAGAATTTGGCCAGACGGCCCGGGGCTCCCGCCCCGGCACACAGCAGCCGCGCCGCCAAACGGCCG